AATAGCGATATCGTATAATTGGCGAATCTGTTGCATCTCTTCAAAGTCCAATGAGGAATCGGACATTTTTAAAGATTCAATTTGATCTTCTACCATTTTGAAGCAGATTTGAGTATGCAGACAGCATTCAACGATGAATTGAATGATTACGAAGCGATTCAGATAGATTATTGATTGTACAATGTGTGAGAATATTTCCATCGCAAGTTGATAATTTGATTGTGATGGCTGAACATTTTGAATAATGGCAGAAACGCTGAAGGCGATATGAAGAGTTAATATGAATGGATAACCGATTGAAATAAGTAACCGATTTTTGCTAATAAATTTACGGATGGAATCATTTGACATATAAGTACCAATCTCTCTGTCGAAATAGTTGACGAATTCAAAGAACGATTTTCGCTTGAAAATCAAATTTATGGAAATAGTTAAGTAAGAGATGACATATAATATTCGCCATGCCGAGACAAAGTCTCTTTTATTCTCGAAACTCTGGATCCTTTCAAAACTGCCGATGGTAAAGGATAACAGAAAGACCAATAATATTGTTTTATTTTTCGTTTTAAGGGCCTTCGCGAATAGTCCGCTCGGTTGGTGATACTCATCAGATTGTATTTCAGGATGAACTTGGGACATTTTAAAATGGCTATGTTCTAGTCTAGTCCAGAACTCTAGTCGATTGAGTCTATTAGATTAATTATAAACTGGTCTGGTCAAGTTGAAAGCTGACACTACTCTGAGTTCGGCTTATTATTTGGACTTTATACGAGAGAAGACAGTAATCTAGACAGTCTATTATTAGTTGCAATCAATTAATGAATTGAATGAAACACATTTTTGACAAAACAATCTGACAATTCAATAATTTTATTGTGATCAAGTTTCATGCTGGTTAGTTTGGGCTTTAATAAAAATGTTTTCATTTTACATTTTCTTTGAATTTTAAAATAAATTATGTTATTATACATTTTTAATGATTGATAACTTAATTACTGGGAGATCTATTTGAATTGAACTGGAAACTTTGGAAATATAATTTGAAAACAATCTCAGCAAGACTTTCTGCGAGGAGAAATGACGATATCTTTTATATCAAAAATACGAGGTAACTCAAAGTATATCATCTTTTATGATCATTATTTACTTCTAGTCAACCTTATTGAACGAAATGTCATTTCACTGTACAAAGAAATAAAATGTTTTCTAAATTGATTAATCATACTGTATCGCTATTGAAAAGATCAATTCTCTTTCGATGCCTTTTATAGCCTTCTATTTCGTGCTCAGTCTCGTTGAATCTCATTTCGCTTTCATCTACACGATTGCAAATCCAACTTTATACATTATATTAATATGTATTGCAGAGCTTTCTACCTTTGCTCTGGCCATTTATCACATGATTTATATCAATCATCTTGCAACCAGAATTTACACACAAGTTTATTCTTTTTCATTTAAAACAGATTCACTTATTGTAAGCAAAGAGGTAATTCAATTTTTAAGTGTATTTTAAGTTTCCAAAGATTCTTTAAGATTCTTCATGAGCAAAATAATAATTAGCAGAATCCCTTTTTCTTGGTATTGAAGTCTTTTATTAACCTAAATTTTATTACATCGTTTTATTGTATTTTCTCATTGCAATTAGATACAACTGTTTCTAACCCGAATAGCGCTTGCGAATGTTGGCTTGAATTTCTTACAGAGTATTAGTTAATAATTTGTTCTGCATCGTGTTTCGTTTTGTGCTTCAAAGATGAAAACAATGCTGAGGATAGCCATATAATTTCATTAAGCCATTAAGATTGATTTTTAAGATTTAAAGCTTTACATTCAATTTTACTTGAAAATGGTTGGAATTGCCAGAGCAATAGTCAATGATAAAGTTCCAAAAGAAGTGACAAAAGCAGGTGTTATGAGAACGATCTTTAAAATGGTTAAGCCAACATCGCCTCTGTTGATTCGAGTGAAGAAGAATCGCAACTGAAATTGAGAGAAAAAATGCAAATGAAATTAAAAATCGTTTTACAAATGCGTTTGAATCTCACCTCATTTTGCATCTCAACAGACTCTACTTTGTATGAGAGGGAATAAACCTGGTTAAAGGCTTCATTTGCAAGTTGGTTTATGTTAGCGATGTGAAAGGTAAGAAGAACCAATGTAACCACTTCTCGCATCATCAACATGAGACTAACTGGATTATATTCATAGATGATAAATACCAAATTCATCTGAAAAGATCCAATGCAAGTGAAATAGTAAACAGGTAAAACCCAGAATAACAATGAGTCGAGTTTTCTCGTCTTTTCAATGGCAACATCATATAATTTGCGAATCTTCTGCATCTCTCCAAAGTTTAATGAGAAATCGGACATTTTCAAAGATGCAATTTGATCTTCTACCATTTTGAAGCATATTTGAGTATGCAGACAGCATTCAATGATGAATTGAATGATCACGTAGCGATTCAGGTAAATTATTGATCGAAAAAGATTCCAGAGCAATCTCATCGCAAGTCCATAATATGATTGCCAATAGACTTGAATAATGTCATGAACGCCATAAATGATATAAAGAATGAATATGAATGGATAACCGATTGAAATGAAAAAGCGATTTTTGCCAATATATTTAGGGATGGAATCATTCGACATGTAAACACCAATCTCTCTGTCGAAATAGTTAACGAATTCAAAGAATGATTTACGCTTGAAAATCAGATAGATGGAAATTGCCAAGTAAGAATTGACATACAATATGCGCCATGCCGAGACATAATTTTTTTTAATCTCGAAATTCTGAATTCCTTCAAAACTGTTCATAACAAAGGATAGCAGAAGAAGCAATAATATCGTTTTATTTTTGGTTTTGAGAGCCTTCGCAAATAGTCCGCTTGGTTGGTGATATTCATCAGATTTTATTTCTGGATCGACTTGAGACATTTCACGATAGTTTAATGTTTGGTTTTAACTTTAGTCGATTGAGTTTATTAGATTGATAAGAAACTGATCAAGTTAAAAGCTGACACTACTCTGAGTTTAGCATTTGACTAATGAATTAAATTAATCGAATTGGTCGAAAACAAACTGACAATTTAATAATCTTGTGTCTGATATTTTATTCTGTTATCCCAGCAAGACTTTTGCAAGGAAAAATTACGATCTTTAGTATCAGAAATACGACGTAATTCAAAGTAGATGATCTTTTATGCACATTTTTTAGTTCTAGTCAAAACTTATTGTTCAAAATGTCATTTCACCTTGCAACGAAATAGAATGTTTCCTAAATTGATTGATAGAAATGCTAATTTCAAACAAATATCTTATTTGTCGATGGTCATTCAAAACACGTCAAATTTATAATCAATGAGACAACCTCAAGGGAATCAATACTGAATTATTGGTCCTCATATATGTCCATATAAAATCATCATTTATTTTGTTGTTTAATCTCTGAAAGAAAAGTTCAATTCACTAGTTCAATTCACAATTCACAATTCAATAGTTGTTTTCAAAGTTGAATCAGAAACATGAATAAAATAGATTCAAATGAAACAAACACAAATCTGTTTGAAATATGTAAACCAACTGGAATACTTGCTAAAGGACTTTATTCTGGACGTAAAGCGATATTTCTGTTTCTTTGGCTCATTCTTTATATCGATGGATTGATTTGGACGATGGGACTTTGGAATCCAAAGAATACTGCTGGGACTGTAAATATTGCAATTTATATGATTACCCAAATGGCCTGTGGAACATTCATACTCCTTGTCTACTGGAACCGAAACAAATACATTGAATGCTTCAACCACTTCGAAAGCAGTGCTAAAATCAATACATTATGTCCGTCTGTTGCACGCTATTTGAAAAAAAATCGATTTATCATCACGATAGTCCTTTCATTGGCCTTTGCAGCGTATTTTGGTGCCAATTGCATGCATTTACATGCAATTTTAGGAAATGAATCGAATGTGTATAAGCGAATTTCCATTTTTGGATTCAGGTTAATTGGTCTTACAGGTTATTTCGCTTGTATCTGTTTCTTCATTGAAACTTGCCTTTATATCCAGAGCTGTTTCTTGCAAGTTGAGACCCAGATACAAATATTGAGTGACTCAAACAACGCATTAAGATTGGACGATATTCGGCAAGTTCGTCGGTTCTACTGCATTGCTATTGAAACCACGGAAAAGATCAATTCTCTTTCGATGCCTTTTATAGCCTTTTATTTCATGCTAAGCTTCGTTGAATCGCATATGGCTTTCATTTACTCAATTGCAAATCCAACTGGCTACAACATAACAATATGTATCACTGAGCTTTGTACCTTTTCTCTGGCCATTTATCACATGATTTACATCAACCATCTTGCAACCAGAATTTACGAACAAGTTTATTCATTTTCATTTAAAACTGATTCACTCGTTGTAAGCAAAGAGGTAATTCAATTTCAAGCTTACGTTAAGTTTCTTAAGATTCTTCATGAGAAAATGTATTAATAATTAGCAGAATCCCTTTTTCTTGCTATTGAAATCTTTTATTAACCTAAATTTTCTCATTTTCTTATTGAATCAGATACAAATGTTTCTAAACCGAATAGCGCTTGCAAATGTTGGCCTGACTTTCTTGGACATCTTTGTTATTACACCGACTTGCTCTACTTCACTGGCCATGATATCACTGACTATAGCTCTAGCAACACCAACACTAGCCAGTTATATTAAATCCTAATGTTTCACTTCATTGTTTCATTACTTTGCCTGGGCAAAAGTATTAAGAAAATGCATTTTACTATCGATCACGACAATAAGGACATAAGGGTTTTAAGCACAATTGCAAATTGAAAATTCACTTCGACACCTTTATTGAAAGATTTTTGAGAATTGAGTTTTCTTTACACTGTAATTTACACTGCAATCAAGCAAACTATAAATTGTAACTTTCTCAACCGCTTTGACAATGAATCCAATGACACCAAATTTGAAACATATTTGTTATTATTAATATAGTACATCGACTTGCTCTACTTCACTGACTATTGCTGCAGCGACACCAACACTGGCAAGTTATATCAAATCCATTCATTAACAACATTCTTTATTTGATTTGTACTGATCAACTTATTAAACTAATACATTTGAAGGTTTCTACAAGTATGCAGCCTAATCATCCTAAGATTGTAGTGACATTAAATTGTATATGCTCTCACTGAATCAGAATCTTTGGATAACTTATCAAACCAAACTTTGGTTACGATTTCTTGAAAATGGTAGGTATTGCCAGAGCAATGGTCAGTAATAAAGTGCCAAATGAGGTGACAAAAGCAGGTGTTATGAGAACGATCTTTAGAATGGTTAAACCAACATCGCCCCGCCTGATTCGAGTGAAGAAGAAGCGTAGCTGAAATTAAGAGAAATAATAAATTCAATGAAAAGCGTTTTACAAATGTGTCTCAACTCACCTCATTTTGCATCTCAATAGACTCTACTTTATATGAGAGCGAGTAAACCTGGTTAAAGGCTTCATTTGCAAGTCGGTTTATGTTAGCGATGTGAAAGGTAAGAAGGATCAAAGTAACCACTTCTCGGACCATAAACATGAGATAAAGGTGGTTAAATTCATAGATGATAAAAACCAAATTCAGCTGAAATGATCCGATGCAGGTAAAATAGTAAGCAGGTAAAACCCAAAACAATAATGAATCGAGTTTTCTCGTCTTTCCAATAGCAACATCGTATAATTGTCGAATCCTTTGCATCTCTTCAAAGTCCAATGAGGAATCGGACATTTTCAAAGATTCAATTTGATCTTCTACCATTTTGAAGCAGATTTGAGTATGCAGACAACATTCAATGATGAATTGAATGATTACGTAGCGATTCAGGTAGATTATTGATCGAAAAAGATTCCAGAGGGATTTCATTGCAAGTTGATAATATGATTGTGATTCCTGATAGACTTGAATAATGTCATGAACGCCATAAGAGAGATAACCAGTTAGTATCAATGTATAACCGATTGAAGTGAGTAACCGATTCTTGGCAATATATTTACGAATGGACTCGTTCGACATGTAAGCACCAATCTCTCTGTCGAAATAGTTAATGAATTTGTTGTATGATTTTCGCTTGAAAATCAAATAGATGCAAATTGCCAAGTAAGAAGTGAGATACAATATGCGCCACGCTGAGACAAAGTCTTTTGCAATCTTAAAATCTCGAATAGTATCGAAACTGTTCATGGTCAAGGATAAAAGAAGAAGAAATAATATTGTTTTATTGTTGGTTCTCAGCGCCTTTGCAAATAGTCCACTTGGTTTGTGATAATCATCAGATTGTGTTTCAGGATGCACTTGAGACATTTTACGATAATTAGATGTTAACAGCTTCAGCCGATTTAGGCTACTAGATTGATAAGAAGGTGATCTGGTCAAGTTGAAAGCTTACTTTACTCTGAAAGTGTTACTTAATTATTTAAACTTTATATTTGGCAAGAAAAAAATTTTGACAATCTATTATTGAATGTAGCATCAATTGATGAATTCAATTAATCATATTTTTTCTAGAATTACTTGATAATTTAATAGTTTTGTCGATAAAATTTTCAGTTTTGCTAAAATTTTATCCTGTTTAAGTTTCATGCTGGTTAGTTTTGCGATAATAAAACTTGGAAATGTTTGTAATTTTCGGTTTTCTTAAGGCTTTACGATGATTTATATTATACAACATTTTAAGTGATTGATAACTTAATTACTGGGAGAATAATCTAGATCGAAATGAAAATGAATAAGAAAATATAATAAGATTTGAAAACAATCTCAGCAAGAGTTTGTGCCAGCAGAAATCACGATCTTTTGTATTGCAAATACGATGTAACTCAAAATAGATGATCCTTTATGTTCATTTTTTACTTTGACCAAAACTTATTATTCAAAATGTCATTTTGCACAGAAACTAAATGTTTCCTGCATTGATTGATCTAATAAATAAAAAGTTGAAATAGTTAGTTTTGCCATTTCTAATTTCATTTGTTTGTTTGATTGTAAGCAAAGAGATATTATAATAATTCAATTTCAAGTTTTTTAAGTTATCAAAGATTATTTATTAATTAGCAGAATCCCTTTTTCTTACTATTTAAGTCTTTAACCAACCTAAATTTTTTTATTTCTTAATGCAATTAGTTACAAATGTTTCTAACCCGAATATTATTTGCAAATATTGGCTTGACTTTCTCGGAAATCTTTGTATTATAATAATATCACCTATTTGCTCTACTTCACTAGCTCAATTTCCCTGACTATTGCTTTAGCGACACCACCACTGGCCAGTTATGTCAAATCCTAAGGATCCTAATAATTTTAAGCACAATTATAAATTAAATTTTACTCGAACAATTTGATTTTTATAAAAAATTCAGGTTTCTCCACACTGTTAATTATATTTTAACCAATACAATATTGTAATAATAGAGGATTTTTTATTGCCCGCTTTGAAAATGCATTCAATTTTCATACTCGGTGTGACACAATGTTTCTTGTGAAATGCAAGCATAAATAGCACTGAAAAGCAAAAAGCCCTTCTACACTCGAAGAAAGGAATATACGACTATAGCTAAGAGCACTAAGCTAATATTTAGAGTAACATTTCATATAAATCAATTTTTAATAATTTAATTAAATGACAAATAATTAGTTGGATTTTATTTTTTGAATGTTTTTATTCTTTAAATGATTTAGACTGATTTTCAAATAATATAATACATTAAAGTTTGCTACGAGTTTCAAGCCTAACCATAAGCTAAGCCTAAGTTGAAGTGACATTACATGTAGGAGCATGTTCTCATATGAATATTTGGACAACTTCTAAAGTAATAGTTATACTTTAGTTACGATTTCTTGAAAATGGTTGGAATTGCCAAAGCAATGGTCAGTAATAAAGTGCCAAATGAAGTGACAAAAGTAGGTGTTATGAGAACGATCTTTAGAATGGTTAAACCAACATCGCCCCTTTTGATTCGAGTGAAGAAGAATCGAATCTGAAATGAAAAGAAACGCATGAAAATGAAATGAAAAAGCGTTTTATAAATGCGTTTGAATCTCACCTCATTTTGCATCTCAATAGACTCTACTTTGTATGAGAGTGAATAAACCTGGTTAAAGGCGGCATTTGCAAGTCGGTTTATGTTAGCGATGTGAAAGGTAACAAGAATCAATGCAACCACTTCTCTAACCATAAACATGAGATGCAAGGGTTGGTATTCATAGATGATGAATATCAAATTCAACTGAAATGATCCGATGCAAAAAAAGTAATAAACAGGTAAAATCCAGAATAACAATGAGTCCAGTTTTCTCGTCTTTCCAATAGCAGCATCATACAATTGGCGAATCCTTTGCATCTCTTCAAAGTTCAATGAGGAATCGGACATTTTTAAAGATTCAATTTGATCTTCTACCATTTTGAAGCAGATTTGAGTATGCAGACAACATTCAATGATGAATTGAATGATTACGTAACGATTCAAGTAGATTATTGATCGAAAAAGATTCCAGATTAATCTAATCGCAAGTTCATAATATGATTGCGATTGCTGATAGACTTGAATAATGTCATTAACGCTATAAGCGATATGAAGAGTGAATACGAATGGATAACCGATTGAAAAAAGTAACCGATTTTTGCAAATAAATTTACGGATGGAATCATTTGACATATAAGTACCAATCTCTCTGTCGAAATAGTTGATGAATTCGTAGAATAACTTTCGCTTGAAAATGAAATAGATGCAAATCGCCAAGTATGAATTGACATACAATAAGCGCCATGCCGAGAGATAACCTTTTTTAATCTCGAAACTCTGAATTCTTTCAAAACTGCCCACGATAAATGATAGCAGAAGCAATAATATTGTTTTATTTTTCGTTTTCAGTACCTTCGCAAATAGTCCGCTCGGTTGGTGATAATCATCAGATTGTATTTCAGGATGAACTTGGGACATTTTAAGTTGGCTATGTTAGTTATTAGCTCTAGTCGATTGAGTTTATTGGATTGATAAGAAACTGATCAAGTTAAAAGCTGACACTACTCTGAGTGTGGCTTTGTTATTTGGACTATGTTATATGAGAGAAGAATCTAGACAGTTTTTTATTAGTCGCATTCAATTAATGAATTAAATTGATCACATTTTTGACAAAACAACCTGATAATAATAGTTTTGTCCCTAAAATTTTATTCTCATCAAGTTTCATGCCGGTTAGTTTGTGCAATAATAAAACATGGACAACCTTTAGAATTTTACATTTTCTTTGAATTTTAAAATGATTTATATCATGTTACATTTTTAATGATTGATAACTTAATTACTGGGAGATCTATTAAATTGAACTGAAAACATTGGAAATGTAATTTGAAAACAATCCCAGTACGTCTCTATGTGAGGAGAAATGACAATCTTTTGTGTCGAAAAACGAGGTAACTCAAATTAGATGATCTTTTATGGTCACTTTTTACTTCTAGTCAAACTTATTGTTCAAAATGCCATTTCACCTTGTAACGAAATGAAAAGTTTCCTAAATTGATCGAAATGCTAATCTCAAACAATATTTTATTTGTAAAGCACCATTCAATCATAACAAGCATTTATACTCGTTGAGCCAACCCGGAGCTGATCAATAGCAACTCATTTGTCCTCATATTTTTATATGAAATCAGCTTGCGAAATGAAAAATTATGTTAAATTAAATTGGGACAACAAAAAAACTGACTCGGACTATTTCAAACCCATTGTAAATTCAATGCCTGAAAGGCTTCAAAATGTAATTGCCCAAGATGGTTTTCCAACAAGATTTTGATTAAATTAAATTTTGATAAGATAACAAGCTCTATGCGTATCTGTTAACAAAAGTGTACGAAACTTAATGTCTGTGGCTGTATAGCTGCGCTCACTAATGGGATCATTAACCTTTGATTTGTTACGTGATATTTACAGTTAACCCACATTGTCTCAGTGGTAACTTGCTTGACTTAAGACTGGCTGGCCCCCGACTCGAGTCCTGTCGAGTCGCAATCAGGTGTCTTCTTCTGTTCTTCTGTTTAGTGGAGCAGTTTGGTGTTAGGGTTCAGTCATATTAAGTCTAAAAAGGGAAGTTACCCAAGTGTCACTCCTGGATTTAGATGTTTGATAGCTCATTCGATAGGGCCATTTTTTTCTTTTTCATATTTTGGATGAATTTTATTGATCATTATGGATATATTGATAATCAATGCATGTGCATGGGATCAGGACAGTGTTTGACACAGAGTGAAGTTTGATAATATGAACATTTTGTAAAAATTAAGAGTCAGAGCAATTAAGAGCCATTTTTAGTTAGTTTAGTTTAAACATTGAATTGTGTTTGTTTCATCTTCTTTTCCATTTCAACTAGTTTCTTTTTCATTTTCATCATATCTGTTTCAAATTTTCATTAATTGTATTAATAATTCATCTTTATTTCATCATAATTTGATCTTATTTTGGTCTTGTGTTCAGCTTGTTTCGATTTTGTGTTGATCTTGAATCGATCCATCAATCATCTTTTGTTCATCTTTTAAATCATCTTCATCTGAAATCGGTAAGTAAATTTGTTTTTCATTGTGTCATGGAGATTCTAATTTCATTCATACCATCAACTTTCAGAAATGATTAATCCTGCTAATGTTGTTAAATTGCAACCAGCATGAACTTACGCCATCAGATGTAGCTGAAGAAGACAAACAATTCTCCGCTCTTCTTTAGTATCCTATTCAATTTAAATCTCAAGGTTCACTTGAACCATGAAGATTACTATTTGTATGGTAATGAAGATGGTGATATTGATTCTGCACCAAAACTTTTCATTTGCTTTCAGGAGCCAAATGGTAGGTTTGGTCCTAAAGTTCAATCAAAAATTGACAGTAGTAAACCTGCAAATATTGTGGTTACATGCACTTCCAGTGAAAAAATGCCAAAAAATACACTCGAATGTTCAGGACAGAACGTTGCTTATTCAAGATTCTTGGTAAGCTCAGAAAGATTTTAGCCTCTTTCAAAGGAAAGTAGAGAAGCATACTTACCTTAGAACGGAAACAATTCCACCGAAAGTGACCAAATATTGTCAACCATTAGATGTTTACTTTTTCAGACAATATAAATTATTTGTTCGAAGATTTCAAGATGCTGTTAGAGCAGCTTCCGAAGATCAAGCTATTGAACGATTGAATGATCGAGTTTAATAATGTGCATGCATGCTCTCATTCACAATCAATTGTCAAGTCCAATTTACAGAGACATGTTATTGTATACATGGAAAGCATCAGGATATACAATCCAAAAAACATTGAATGGCTTCCAAAATGTTCTAGAGGTAAACTTTGTGTATCTGTAGAAAAATGCGCAAGTTGTGAAATCTTAATTTTTACAAAATGTTCATATTGTCAAACTTCCCTCAGTGTCAAACACTATACTGATCCTATGCACATGCATTGATTATCAATGTATCCATAATGATCAATAAAATTCATCAAAAATATGAAAAAGTAAAAAAATGACCTTAAACGACCTTAAAATAACCTTAAAATTAATTAAAAATAACTTTGTTAAATTTTTTATAAGTTATTTTCAATTAATTTTAAGGTTATTTTAAGGTCGTTATTTTAAAGTTTAACAAAAAAAGCCACAAGCGAGATTCGAACCCAAAACACCTTATCTTCAAGCTACCCTTTCACCACTGCGCCACCGCAGCTCACACTTGCACAGATTGTCAAGTGTGAAAAGTCAAAAATTGCCAAATTTTAAACCTAGATATCTTAGTAACCACTTAACTCGCAGACGAAATCCATTAACCCGTTTATCCCACTACTTGGCCCTATCGAATTCGCTATCAAACATCAAAATCCAGGAGGGACACTTGGGTAACTTCCATTGTAAGCTACTATTTGGACGTGGGTTAGCTGTTTTGCAAAAATAAAGCTCATGCGCATGCGCGAAATGATGTTTCATTCACAGCTTTGACATGAGAGTGATGTTTATAAGCATTGTTTTCACTCGAGGACGTCATCAGTCTTCAGTGTGAGCAATGGGTTAAGGCCTCGCCCTTCACCGGGGTAATCCGGGTTCTAACCCAGTCAAGACTGATAGATTTGGTCACAGACTGAATTGGATTGGTAAGTTCCCTACAATGTGTACTAGCTAATTGTCTCTTTACAGAAATGAGTTGGAGTAGATTCTAGCTACAGAAACGTGTTGTGAACAGCCAGGAGGATGGTCTTAGGAGCATGGGTTGTTAAGATGAGAAGTCAAGTGCTCTTACCCCAGAACAGCCATGGTATTTTATATCAACCGAGGTAGCATGGGTCAATTTAGGTGTCAAAAGAAGCATCCTGCCAATAGAAGAGCCGCTGTCAGCGCTGCAGATGGAACTTGGTTTGAAGGTCATCAGCTCGAGCTCAGAAAAATGTACAGCCTGATGTGTAGCTTCACAGCTGGCGAATCATATGAGGCTGCTGTACGAGAGTTGGTTGATGAGAATCCAGCATTGACATCGTTTTAAACAATAGCTGATTGGTACAGCTATTGTAGAGAGGTGGTTGTAGACAACTTCCTATCTGAAAAGCAACTGAGAGGAAAGATTGGTGGTCCTGGCAGAGTTGTGCAAATAGATGAGGCTAAATTTGGCAGGCTAAAGTTTCATCGAGGTCGGTACATAGAAGGGAATTGAATATTGGGCATGATATGCGATGGATCCGAAGATCTAAGGTTGGAGATATGCCCGGATAACAAGAGAGATTCAGCCACACTGATCCCCTTGATCCGTAAACATGTAGCCCCTGGTTCTACAATCTGGACAGATGAGTGGCGTGCATATAACTGTCTGCCAGAATATGATGACTAAAAGCACGAGAATGTGTGCCATGCACGTGAGTTCGTTGATGAGGTAACTGGAGTACATACTCAACGAATAGAATCTCAGTAAGACTTTGTGCCGCAGAAATGATGATCTTTTGCATTGAAAACACGATGTAGTTCAAACTAGATGATCTTTATGCCCATTCATTTCACTATAACTTATTGTTCACAAAGTAATTTTCTCAGAAATAAATGTTTTATAGAATTTCCTAAAATGATTGATCGAAATTTTAATTTCAATCAACATAGTCTGGGCTTTGTTCATCCAATTTCAACCAGATATCTAACTTGCCATGGTGATCACTGGCCATTCAATAAATACAAAATTTTTATAATCAATGAGCGAAACTAGAGTGAATCAATACTGACTTATTTGTATTCATTTGATTTTATAAAAATTAACCCATATTGTGCTAGTTTACATCTGAAAGAAAAGTTTAATTAAATTTTTTGCAAAGTCAAATCGTTAAATTGTAAAGTTTAATCACAATTATGAATAAAATAGATTCAAATGAAACAAATACTGATCTGTTTGCAATATGCAAACCAACTGGACTACTTGCTAAAGGACTTTATTCTGGACGTAAAGTCATCTTTCTGTTTCTTGGGCTCATTCTTTATATCGATGGATTGCTATTTGCAATGGAACTTTGGATTTCAATGAATACTTTGGGAGCAGTAAATAATATAATCTATATGATTACCCAAATGGCCTGTGGAACCTTCATACTTCTTGTATACTGGAATCGGTACAAATACATTGAATGCTTCAATCACTTCAAAAGAAATGCTGGCATCAATACATTGTGTCCGTCTGTTGTTTGCTATCTGAAAAAACATCGATTTATCATCACGGCTGTTATTTTATTGGTCTTTGCAATTTACTTTGGTTCTGGCTGCATCTCTATTGGTGAATTTTATGTTAGTTTATCCGACAATTATCAGCAAATGGTTTTTCTTGGAATCAGGTTGATTGGTCTCGCAGCTTATTTAGCGTGTCTCTGTTTCTTCATTGAAACTTGCCTTTATATTCAAAGCTGTTTCTTGCAAGTTGAGACCCAAATACAAATATTGAGCGACTCAAACAACGCATTAACATTGGACGAGATTCGACTAGTCCGTCGGTTGTACTGCATTGCTATTGAAAATACAGAAAAGATCAATTCTCTATCAATGCCAGTCATAGCCTTCTATTTCGTTATCAGTATCGTTGAATCTCATTTCGCTTTCGTTTACACAATTGCAAATCCAACTGGCTACGCTTTATTAATGTGTATCGCTGAGCTTTGTACCTTTTCGCTTGCAATTTATAACATGATTTTTATCAATCATCTTGCAATCAGAATTTACGAACAAGTTTATTCTTTTTCATTTAAAACTGATTCACTGATTATAAGCAAAGAGGTAATGCAATTTTTGTTCATATAATATTCTAACCCAATCTAGTCTAAACGTTGAATACTGCTATCAGATTCTTTATGAACTTGTATATTTAGTAGAGTCCCGATAGCCTTTTATTAACCTAAATTTTCTTATTTTCTTATTCTAATTAGATACAAATATTTCTAACCCGAATATCGCTTGCAAATGTTGGCTTCACTTTCTTGGACATCTTTGTTATTACGCCGACTTGCGCTACTTCACTGGCTACGATATCGTTGACTTTTGCTTTAGCAACACCAACACTGGCCAATTATATCAAGTCTTAATGTTTCACTTCAATATTTTAGCTCTTTAAGTTTTCAAAAAACCGATATTTTCATTTCAGTTATTAATTATCAATCACGAAAATGCAACTATATTTAAAATGACTTTCAGCACAATTACAAATTGATAATTTACTGCGAAACCTTTATTCGTATTAAAGATTTTTGTAATTAAGTTGCACTGTAAATTACATTACAATCAACAATACTCAAGCAAAAATAAATTGTAACTTTCTCATCAGCATTGACAATAAATTAAACTCGGTTAAAGCTCGAGTAGGTGAGAGGAAACACGGAAAATGGAAGGTCAAAAGAAGAAATCAAAGTCAGTTTCAAATTTTGAACAAGTTGGACTCACATAGTGGTAAAATTGAAAATCTAAAAAGCTAAAAATAATCTTAAGTTAAAAGACTAAAAGTTGATTTAAAGGGAAGTAACTTTTCCCTATTTTTTCAATAAGTCCAACAGCAATGTCACTATGTCATCATTTTATCCTCACCTTAAAATTATGGAAGCTCCACCGAGAGGTCTTTTAAGCTCTCAACTTTCCAGAACCCGTGCCTTTTAAATGATCTCTTCTGTAGCCTACAAATATTGCGTCCCGAGGGCCCAATAGAAACCGAACTAAATTTCTGAAATTTATCATTCAACTTTGGTTTTGCCTCCTTACTCTCGTGCAGCTCTCCCTACTCTCTTCACAGTAGCATAAACGCGTTCAAATACAATTATAAAATTCAATTTGAAAATAGTCAAAATTTTACACAATTTATACAGTGAAGTGTAATGTAAAAATAATAAAAATTGTTCAGTGAAATTATTAATGCAAAATGTTTTAAATGTACAATCTTTTTTATTTTGTGCTCCATCAAACATTCGGTGGTGTACAGTTAGCTAGACATGCTCGATTTTAGGAAGCTAATCATAGAATGACAATAATTATTGGACTTATGTTAATTTCATATCATAAGGGAATGCTTATAGCAGCCATATAATTTCGTGCAAATTACTATTATAATTGATGTATTACAATGAAAGTTTAAGATCATTTTTTACAAATGGTGAGAATTTCCAGCATTTTGGATTACTTTTCCAAGAATTAATAATTTGTGCTACGTCGTGTTTCAAGCTTTACGTTCAATTTTTTTTGAGAATGGTTGGAATTGCCAAAGCAATGGTCAGTAATAAAGTGCCAAATGAAGTGACAAAAGTAGGTGTTAGGAGAACGATCTTTAGAATGGTTAAACCAACATCGCCCCTTTTGATTCGAGTGAAGAAGAATCGCATCTGCAATTAAAAGAAACGCATGAAAATTAAATGAAAAAGCGTTTTATAAATGCGTTTGAATCTCACCTCATTTTGCATCTCAATAGACTCTACTTTATATGAGAGTGAATAAACCTGGTTAAAGGCTTCATTTGCAAGTCGGTTTATGTTAGCGATGTGAAAGGTAAGAAGGATCAATGAAAATACTTCTCGAACCATCAACATGAGATAAAGGTGGTTAAATTCATAGATAACAAGTACCAAATTCAACTGAAATGATCCAATGCAAGTAAGATAGTAAACAGGTAAAACGCAGAATAACAATGAGTCGAGTTTTCTCGTCTTCCCAATAGCCTTATCGTATAATTGGCGAATCTGTTGTATCTCTTCAAAGTTCAATGAGGAATCGGACATTTTTAAAGATTCAATTTGATCTTCTACCATTTTGAAGCAGACTTGAACATGCAGACAGCATTCGATTATGAATTGAATGATTGCGTAGCGGTTCAGGTAGATTATTGATCGATAAAGATTCAAGCATATTTTTACCGCAAGTTGATAATTTGATTGTGAGCGCTGATCAATTTCGATAACATCGAAAGTTCCTTTAATAGAATAAAGAGTGAATATGAATGGATAACCGATTGTAACGAGTGTGCGATTCTTAGCAATAAATTTACGAATGGAATCGTTTGGCAGATAAGCACCAATCTCTCTGTCGAAATAGTTGATGAATTCTTTGAATGATTTTCGCTTGAAAATCAAATAGACGCAAATCACCAAGTAAGAAGTGGCATAAAAGAAGTACCAAGAAACAAAAAAACTTCCGTGGATCTTGAAAACTAGCATTGTTTCAATACAAACCTCAATAAAGGATAACAGAAGAAGAAATAATATTGTTTTATTGTTGGTTCTAAGAGCCTTCGCAATTAGTCCGCTCGGTTTATGATATTCATCAACTTGTGTTTCAGGATGGACTTGAGACATTTTAACGATAGTTTGATGTTATTAGCTTTAGTCGATTTAGTATATTGGGTTGATAAGAAGCTGATCTGATCAAGTTAAAAGCTGACTTTACTCTGAAATGTTCCTTCATTATTTTACAGTCTATTATTGGATGTTGGCCTCGATTAATGAATACAAAATTCAGAATTCATGATTTCAACACAAGTTTTATAGGATACATGACAAATTAATAGTTTTGTCGATAAAATTTTGAACTTTGCTATAATTTAATTATGCTCAATTTTCATGCTGGTTAGTCTGGGCAACAATAAAACATGGACTCATGTTGTCAAAACAATGTTCTTAATTTTATGGTTTTCTTTGGATTTTAAATGATTTAAATGATTGATGATTTAATTGCTGAGAGAATAATCTAGACTAAAATGAAAACAATGAAAAATCTGGGTTTCGTTACGAGCAAGAATAATTTGATCAATATCTCACAGCAAGACTTTTTGCTAGCAAAAATGATGATCTATTGAAAACACGATGTAACTCAAAACAGATTATCGTTATTTCAATCATTTCACTATAACTCATTGTTCAAAAAGTCATTTCATTTTGAAACGAAACAATTGTTTTGTTGAATTTCCTAAATCGGTAGATCGAAATATTAATTTCAAACAATATGGTCTGCTCATTGTGCATTTATTTCCGACCCGATTTTATTAGTGAATGGTCATTCAATACATAACAATACAACTTTATAATCAATGAGTCGAACCCAGAGTCAATCACTACTGCCTTATTACATTAGTGCTCATTACATTGTGTATAATAAGTTCCTATTTTGGAGTTTATCTCTGAAAGAGAAGTTCAAATCACTAAATTGCAAAGTTGAGTTGAAAATATGAATAAAATAGATTTGAATGAAACAAACCCAAATCTGTTTGAAATATGTAAACCAACTGGAATACTCGCTAAGGGACTTTATTCTGGACGAAAAGCGATATTTCTGTTTCTTGGTCTCATCCTTTATATCGATGGATTGGTTTTTGCGTTTGAACTTTGGATTCCAATAAATACTATGGGAGCAGTAAATAATTCATTTTTCATGGTTATTCAAATGGCCTGTGGAACCTTCATACTGCTTGTATACTGGAACCGCCACAAATACATTGAATGCTTCAACTACTTCGAAAGTAATGCTCGCATCAATACATTATGTCCATCTGTTTCCTGCTATATGAAAAAACATCGTTTCATCATTACGATTGTCATTTCATTGATCTTTGCAGCTTATTTTGGTTGTGGCTGCGTCTTTATGGGTGAAATTTATGGCAATTTATCCGATAATTATCAGAAAATCCCCATTCTCGGAATCAGGTTAATTGGTCTTGCAGGTTATTTGGTTTGTCTCTGTTTCTTCATTGAAACTTGCCTTTATATTCAAAGCTGTTTCTTGCAAGTTGAGACCCAGATACAAATATTGAGCGACTCAAACAGCGCATTAACATTGGATGATGTTCGGCGAGTCCGTCGATTGTACTGCATTGCTATTGAAACTACAGAAAAGATCAATTCTCTATCAATGCCTGTCATAGCCTTCTATTTCGTGATCAGTATCGTTGAATCTCATTTCGCTTTCGTTTACACAATTGCAAATCCAACTGGCTACGCTTTATTAATGTGTATCGCTCAGGTTTGCTCCTTATCTCTGGGTATTTTTCACATGATTTATATTAATCATCTTGCGCTCATAATTTACGAACAAGTTTATTCTTTTTCATTTAAAACTGGTTCACTTATTGTAAGCAAAGAGGTAATTCAACTTTCTGTCTATCTGATACCTTGACCTAATCTAGTTTTATGTAGTTTAATGCTACTCTAAGATTCTTTATCATTTATTGTAATAATTAGCAGAATCCCAATAGTCTTTTATTAATCTCAATTTTCTCATTTCTTATAATTAGGTTCAAATATTTCTAACCCGAATATCGCGGGCAAATGTTGGCTTGACTTTCTTGGACATCTTTGTTATCACTCCGACTTGCGCTACTTCACTGGCTACGATATCGTTGACTTTTGCTTTAGCAACACCAACACTGGCCAATTATATCAAGTCTTAATGTTTCACTTCAATTTTGCATTTCTTTACCTGAGCAAAAATATTTAGAAAATTCATGTTATAATCACGACAGTTTAACTGTAATGGCTTTTGGGTTTTAAACAAAACTACAAATTAATAATGCCCTTTGACACCTTGCTTTGATTAAAGAGCTCATAAAGATGAAAATTTCCTTGACAGATCATTTCAGTCAAAAATAACCAATAAAACTTAAATTGTAACTTTCTCACTCGCTCTGACAATAAATTAAATCACAGCAAATTTTGCACTCAGTAATGACTCGTAAAAACACATGTGTTTGCATGAAAATAGTTAAAAATTCAATTCATACAACTTTTTCCGTTTTTGTTAATCCTTAAAAACCCTAAGTTTTAGTTGCACAGATTCCATATGAGAGTGCTTAAAACCTGGTTGAAGGCTTCATTTGCAAGTCGTTTATGTTAGTGATTTGAAAGGTAACAAGAATCAATGTAACCATTTCTCTAACCATCAACATGAGATGCAAGGGTTGGTATTCAAAGATGATGAATATCAAATTCAACTGAAATGATCCGATGCAAAGAAAGTAATAAACAGGTAAAATCCAGAATAACAATGAGTCGAGTTTTCTCGTCTTTCCAATAGCAACATCATACAATCGGCGAATCCTTTGCATCTCTTCAAAGTTCAATGAGGAATCGGACATTTTGAAAGATTCAATTTGATCTTCTACCATTTTGAAGCAGATTTGAGTATGCAGACAGCATTCAACGATGAATTAAATGATTACGTAGCGATTCAGATAGATTATTGATCGATAGAGATTCAAGCATATTTTTACCGCAAGTTGATAATTTGATTGTGAGCGCTGATGAATTTCGATAACATCGAAAGTTCCATTAATAGAATGAAGTGTATATGAATTGATAACCGATTGTAATGAGTGCGCGATTCTTAGCAATAAATTTACGAATGAAATCATTTGACATGTAAATACCAATTTCTCTGTCGAAATAGTTGATGAATTCGTTGTATGATTTTCGCTTTAAAATCAAATAGATGCAAATCATCAAGTAAGAAGTGGAATAAAAGAGGTAGCATGATAGAAAAAAACTCCCGTGAATCTTGGATGCTCGCATTGTTTCGTAGCAAACTTCAGTCAAGGATAACAGAAGCAGCGATATTTTTTATATTTTTGCACAACCATTATTTCACACGCTCAAGGTCATTCAAGGTCAATTCTTTATTTGACCTCTAATTGACATTGGAAGTTCATTTTCTGAAACCGCAAAATTTTGCTGATCTGTTGATGTTAGTAACATGTTCATAACTCTCACAATTGACAAGATAAATAAATTTGATGATTGATTACTGAATGGTATGGAATCACTCATATCCTTTAGCCAGCATAAGTTAAGACCATGTGATAACATCAATCGGTCAAAAAATTGCCAGTTCCAGAAAATGACCTTTCAATGTCAATTAGAGGTCAAATAAAGAATTAGCCTTGAATGACATTGAGCGTGTGACATAAAAGTTGTGCAATCTAAATAAGCTAATGGTTCAAGTCTGAGGTCTGTAGCACTAATTGTTCGTGAGTTATGCCTGCATGAAGGCGTAAAATGGAGAAAACGCCCGGTGTAATCAACGAAAAAAAATGTATAACAAAAAGAGTTATCAATCAAACAGAATAAAATGATAACTCGTATCTATGTATTATATATGTGAAATAAGTCAATAAGCAATAATTGAAGTTAATACAACATCAAGTGTAATTCAAAACAAGGAGATGGCTCTTGTGACTCGAGAAAAATTGTCTGAGAAAGAATCATAGTAAAAATACAATGTCTAATAGCTGTTAATCCGGTGGAAGTCAACACAATAGTGATTGCAGGTTACATGAGATATTTCAATAAAGAACAAATAAAGCTAGCCTATCAACAATTTGAAGTCATGAAAAGCTATTGCGAAGGTCTTAAGATATCATAGGTCTTTAAATATCATCATAATGGGAGATCTGAATGCAGTCAATGAATTATGGTCGAAAATTCATCCAAAAAATGATTATTACTCTATAAGTATTGCGAAAACAACTAGGAAAATTATTGAAATCAACAATTGTTAAATGTTAATGACAGCAAGATTAAAACATATTCAAGAAGTGGAGCAGTGATAGATTGAATCATCACAAGTAAAGATTTAGAAATCAAATAGATAAGAGTGATCAAAAAATTGTAGTGATGAAATTTCCTCAATATCATAATTTGACCTTGAAAATTATGATTTGACTTTATTTCGACATTTTTAATATCAATAGGAAAAATTTCCACAAAATTGAATGACCTTGACCTTGAAACATGACAATTGAGTATCACCCGAATTTCTATAAACTAAATATCCAGCCTCAAAATCTAGGTGCAAAAATATAGCCGATTAGCTGAAATGCCCTGTATGCCTACATAGGATTTATAAATATGCAACAAATGATCTTTGATATAATATAAAATATCAAGAGTTGAACTCTGAAGATTGGTTAAACAAGCTGGATATATCTGAGGCTTTTGACAAGGTTGACACAAGAATAGCTATGCCAAAAATAAAATTAACATGTGGATAATCAAATTTCGGACTACTTCAATCAATTGCATACAGCAGATGGCTTAGAATTAATGTCAATAAAGACAGACAAGACAAGATATGAAATGGAAGAAGAAGGAAGACCACAAGGATCATCCATAGACCTATAATGTTATCAGCTCGATTGATAATAACCACAAGAAGAATAAGTAAAAAATAAGATGATAAAAGCTTATGCAGATGATATAATCTTGAACACAAATGTTGAACAACAATTGAACAAAAATTTATGCAAGAAATAATCGAATTAATGAAAAGGTAAATTTAGAAATCAACGAGAAAAAGACTGAAATGTTCATTCTAAAAGATATGAAAATGAGGGAAATATTGATTCTTGGTGAGCCAATCTGTGAGTCAATCAGAAAAAGGCATCGCTCAATATAAAAGAATTACGACAATACAGAAAACTCAAGAAATTGAGAAATGGAAATCAAAACCAGATCTTAAATACCAACCGGACAAAGCGAAATGGCTGATAATATCTTAATATATAATACAGAAATTAAAAAATGCTCACTATCCTTCTTTCTAATAACAGCAGACGAACAAGTTTTTCCAAGAAGAATAGATGTAATAATTGAAAACAATTGGAACAAGTAAGAGATACAAAACCGTCTAAAGAGATTCTATAAAAAATTTTACTACTTGAAGCACACAATGAAGATATGCTGTCATCAAGAAAAGCATAGGTCAAATGAAAAACAGAAAGATTTATCGGGCGTTTTTATCCTTGACCGTCGTTTGTATTAATAACTTTTGAACCAGAAGTCAGATCTTTATGATATTCAGTAAGTATTACTACCAAATTTAAGAAACACAAATTTAGAATCTCAAGGACATTCAAGGTCATTCAGTTATTGGACCTCTAATTGACCTTTGCATATCATTTTCTAAAAGATCAATATTTTTCAGATCGATTGGTGCTTGTCTCATGTTGGTAGCCCATTTTGATAAAACGATACGGGAGTTTATGAACCATTCAGTTAATGAGTGCTTGGTGAAAAATCGCTTATCTTCACAACGGTAGCAGTCTAAATTTAGCAAAAGGTAAAAAGAAATGGATCATTGTGGCTCAAAGGGTATCAATGTGATTCCAATAACAAATCGAGCGGGAAGGAGAGAGAACAGAATGCATCAAGATTTATCAATCGGATCAAATGAATTCATACAGGAAACAAAATTGCTGCACTAAAATATATAGTTAGAATGATGAATGAAGAAAAAGAAGACGGAGTATAATGATAACAAAAGAAATGGAGCAAAGTAAACATACCAAGAGTACATTCTCAAAAGAAATAGTTGATTACAAAGTTGAATCAGAAATAAGGATGAAATGGAATCAAATCAAGCAAAAACAAGTCTGTTTGAAATATGCTCATTCTATATATCGATGGATGGCTATTTGCAATGGAACTTTGGATTCCAATGAATACTTTGGGAGCATTAAATAATATAATCTATATGATTACTCGAATGGCCTGTGGAACCTTCATACTGCATGTCTACTGGAACCGAAACAAATACATTGAATGCTTCAACTGCTTCGAAAGGAATGCTCAAATCCATAAATTATGTATAATACAATATTTTAATAATTAAGGGAACTATGCATTGCTTTTTTCTTGCCAGCTTTAAAAATAGATTCAATTTTCATGCTCAGAAGCTTAAATAGCCCTTAAATACACTTCCACACACTGGAAAAGGAATAATCGACAATAGTAAAATACACCAAGCTATTAATAATATTTTGAGTAAAATGTTGATTAAACCGATTTTTCAATAATTAATTGGATCGTAACAACATTCTTTATTTGATTTGTACTGATCAACTTATTAAACTAATACATTTAAGTTTTTACAAGTGTTAAGCCTAATCATTGTAAGTTTTAGCGACATTACATTTTATATGCTCTCACTGAATCAAAATCTTTGGATAACTTCTACAACTACTTATACCTTCGTTACGATTGCTTGAAAATGGTTGGAATTGCCAGAGCAATTGTCAACGATAAAGTTCCAAATGAAGTGACAAAAGCAGGTGTAATGAGAACGATCTTTAAAATGGTTAAACCAACATCACCTCTTCTGATTCGAGTGAAGAAGAAGCGTAACTGAAATTAAGAGAAATAATAAATTCAATGAAAAACGATTTTATTAATACAAATCAATTTGAATCTCACCTCATTTTGCATCTCAATAGACTCTACTTTGTATGAAAGTGAATAAACCTGGTTAAAGGCTTCATTTGCAAGTCGGTTTATGTTAGCAATGTGAAAGGTAAGAAAAACCAATGTAACCAATTCTCGAACCATAAACATGGTGTAAAGGTGGTTAAATTCATAGATGATAAATACCAAATCCAGCTGAAAAGATCCGATGCAAGTAAAATAGTAAACAGGTAAAACCCAGAATAATAATGAGTCGAGTTTTCTCGTCTTTCCAATAGCGACATCATATAATTGGCGAATCTTTTGCATCTCTCCAAAGTCCAATGAGGAATCGGACATTTTTAAAGATTCAATTTGATCTTCTACCATTTTGAAGCAGATTTGAGTATGTAGACAGCATTCAATGATGAATTGAATGATCACGTAGCGATTCAGGTAGATTATTGATCGAAAAAGATTCCAGAATACTTGAATAATCAGTCGATAATATGATTGTGATTGCTGATAGACTTGAATGATATCAAGAACGCCATAAGTGAGATAAACAGTTAATATCAATGTATAACCCATTGAAGTGAGTAACCGATTCTTGGAAATATATTTACGAATAGACTCGTTCGACATGTAAGCACCAATTTCTCTGTCGAAAAAGTTGATGAATTCGTTGTATGATTTTCGCTTGAAAATCAAATAGATGCAAATTGCTAAGTAAGAAGTGAGATACAAGATGCGCCATGCTGAGACAAAGTCTTTAGCCATCTTAAAATCCCGAATTGCATCGAAACTGTTCATGGTGAAGGATAAAAGAAGAAGAAATAATATTGTTTTATTTTTCGTTGTGAGTGCCTTCGCAAATAGTCCACTTGGTTGGTGATAATCATCAGATGTTGTCTCAGGATGTACTTGAGACATTTTACGATAGTTGGATGTTATTAGCTTCAGTCGATTTAGGCTACTAGATTGATAAGAAACTGATCTGGTCAAGTTAAAAGCTTACTCTGAAAGTGTTGCTTTATTATTTAAACTTTATATGTGGCAAGAAACAAATTTTGACAATCTATTATTGAATGTAACATCAATTAATGATTCAATTAATCATTTTTTTAGAATTACTTGACAATTTAATAGTTTTGTCGATAAAATTTTCAGTTTTTCTATGCATATTACAGCATAAATTTTATCCTGTTCAAGTTTCATGTTGGTTAGTTTTGCGATAATAAAACTTGGAAATGTTTGTAATTTTACGGTTTTCTTTAGATTTTAAAATGATTTATATTATTCATCATTTTTAGTGATTGATAACTTAATTACTGGGAGAATAATCTAGATCGAAATGTAAATGAATAAGAAAATATAATAAGATTTGAAAACAATCTCAGCAAGACTTTGTGCCAGCAGAAATGACGATCTTTTGTATTGCAAATACGATGTAACTCAAAATAGATGATCCTTTATGTTCATTTTTTACTTCTAACCAAAACTTATTATTCAAAATGTCATTTTGCAACGAATCTAAATGTTTCCTGAATTGATTGATCTAAATACAAAGTTGAAACAGTATAGTCTTGCCATTTCTAATTTCATTATAACCAAATATATCATTTGTCAGTGGTCATTCAATACGGAAATTCAATCCATTCACTATCGATGCCTGTCATAGACTTCTATTTCGTGCTCAGTTTCGTTGAATCTCATTTCGCTTTCATCTACACGATTGCAAATCCAACTTTATACATTATATTAATATGTATTGCAGAACTCAGTACCTTTAGAACTAGTAAGTAACTCAGTCAGAATTTACGAACAAGTTTATTCTTTTTCATTTAAGACAGATTCAATGATTGTAAGCAAAGGGCTAATTTAATTTTCAATTTTCTTAAAGACCTACTAGCATAAGCTCAACTGTCTTTTACAACGTGACAAATGGAAAGCGAACTATTAATACTTTGAGGAAATTTTTTTAATGAAAATCTTTTATTAAGCTAAATTTTCTCATTTCTTATCGCAATAGATACAAATATTTCTAACCCGAATAGCGCTTGCAAATGTTGACTTGACTTTCTTGGACATCTTTGTAATATCACCGACTTGCTCTACACAATTTCACTGACTATTGCTTTATCGACACTAACACTGGCCAATTATATCAAATCCTAAGGACAAAAGGATTTTAAGCACAATTACAAATTAATATTGTAACCGAGTCGGGGTCCATGGTAAGATGTTGATGATCGGAATGGGTCTGACGACCGATGTAAATAATTAAATGAAAACAATAGAAAATTTTCTTGGTCGAACATAATTTATTAAGCACTATGGTTTCATAGAATACTGTTGAGTATACAAATAAAGTTAAAAGTAAACTTTCAAACGAACACCAAGCAAAATCCAAAGAATCAAAATTACTCAAACAAACTTGAGGATCCAAAACTAAACTTCTAGATAATGATCAAAGGACGAAGACCAAAAGAATAGGGAAAAGTGCCTAAAAATAGAATTTCCTCAAAGTCTCGTACTTGATGTAAAATTTTATGCCAATTCCAAAAATTGATACCATTTTTCGATATGATGTATAGTTTTCAAGTTATCAGGTAAAAAATGTTGAAATGTTGAAAATGGCCTGAACCAGTTTTGAGTGACAAAGTATTTTGAACATTTTGTACATAATTAACTGCCCTCTATTCAAAAAATGTATCGGTATATTTCTATCATCGGGGCGTCTATGACTTTTTTGATAACGCTTGATATTTTTTTCGGTTTTCAGCCTTTTACCCCTTAGATGATTTGAGTGACAAAGCATTCTGAATATTTATCATAAATTGGATCATCTTCTATCCAAAAAATGTATCAGTGTATCTGCATCATAGGGAGGTATATACTATTTTCAAGACAACAAAAATTCAAAAAATATTATTCTTCTTGAAAAAGAGCATTTACGCCCCGATGATACTAATATCCTGATACATTTTTTGGATAGAGGATGGTCCAATGTATGATAAATATTCAAAATACTTTGTCACTCAAAACGAGTGACAAAGTGACCAAAAGGCTGAAAACCGAAAAAAAATATCAAGCGTTAAGGAAATTCTATTTTTTAGGCAGTTTTGGTCTTTATCCTTTATCAATTCTTTTTATATTCCCGTTTTAAGAGAGCAGAGTACGTGACCTTAAGTCACCAGATGGTCGTTTGACCTTCTTTCCTTCTTGATAGTTAACTTTATCAATTTACGATCTGGGAAAGTTGGGTCTGACGGACCCTTAAACCTATTTTTAGGCTTTATTCATATGTAAATCTTTCAATTTCTGTTTAATTCTTAATAATTTACGAGTTAGGTTGCAATTTCTCAAAAACATTCAACTTCTCAGGCAATTCTTGCAGTCATAAAATAAGTTTGATTTAACCGTATTCAAATCTCTTTACTTGGAAAACTTGCTTCTTTAATTCTTTAACTTTACATAAAATAGATCATCGTTTAATCCAAATTTTATTTATTCCAAGAAATCCTGGGTCTGACACACATTTTATTCCTAATTCTTTAGTCTAACAACAATTTTTAGCCATTCAAACCCAGGGTGGAAATATGGAGACGACCCCTCAATTTTAAGTTTGAAAGATGAGCCCTGGAGATTGTAATACATTTCTTTTTCTATCCTTTTCTAAAATAACTATCTTCAGCACTAACTTAATATTTGTATTCATGTATTTAATTAGCCTAGCAATAAAATTAGTTATCCAAATTCAGGGTCTGACAATATTATAATTACTCCAACATTTTGATTTTTATAAAAATTTCAGGTTTCTCCATACTTTTAATTATATTTTAATCAATACAATATTGTAATAATGAAGGAAACTGTAAATTGCGTTTGTATTGCCTGCTTTAAACTCTGCCACTCGTGGTTTCTTGGAAAATACAAGCATATAATAAATAGCACTGAAAAGCAGAATGTCCTTCTACACACGAAGAAAGGAATATAGCTAAGCACACTAAGCTAATATCCAGAGTAAAATATAAATCAATTTTTAATAATTTAGATGACAAATAATTTCTTTGATTTTATTTATTGAATTTATTCTTTAGTTGATTTGTACTAACTTTAAAATAATACATAAAAGTGTGCTACGAGTTTCAAGCCTAAACTAAGCCTAAGTTGTAGTGACATTACATGTAAGTATATGTTCTCATATGAATATTTGGATAACTTCTCAAAGAAGTTATACTTTGTTTACGATTTCTTGAAATTGGTAGGAATTGCCAGAGCAATGGTCAGTAATAACGTGCCAAATGAAGTGACAAAACCAGGTGTAATGAGAACGATCTTTAAAATGGTTAAACCGACGTCGCCTCTTTTGATTCGAGTGAAGAAAAATCGCATCTAAAATTAAAAGAAACGAATGAAAAATGAAATGAAAAGCGTTTTACAAATTTGTTTAAATCTCACCTCATTTTGCATCTCAACAGACTCTACCTTATATGAGAGGGAATAAACCTGGTTAAAGGCTTCATTTGCAAGTCGGTTTATGTTAGCGATGTGAAAGGTAACAAGAATCAATGAAACCATTTCTCTAACCATCAACATGAGATGCAAGGGTTGGTATTCATAAATGATGAATATCAAATTCAACTGAAATGATCCGATGCAAATAAAATAGTAAACAGGTAAGACCCAGAATAAAAATGAGTCGAGTTTCCTCGTCTTTCCAATAGCAACATCATACAATCGGCGAATCCTTTGCATCTCTTCAAAGTCCAATGAGGAATCGGAAATTTTTATCGATTCAATTTGATCTTCTACCATTTTGAAGCAGATTTGAGTATGCAGACAGCATTCAATGATGAATTGAATGATTAAGTAGCGATTCAGGTAGATTATTGATCGAAAAAGATTCCAGATTAATCTCATCGCAAGTCCATAATATGATTGTGATTGCTGATAGACTTGAATAATGTCATTAACGCTATAAGCGATATGAAGAGTGAATACGAATGGATAACCGATTGAAAAAAGTAATCGATTTTTGCCAATAAATTTACGGATGGAATCGTTTGACATGTAAGTACCAATCTCTCTGTCGAAATAGTTGATGAATTCGTAGAATAACTTTCGCTTGAAAATGAAATAGATGCAAATCGCCAAGTATGAATTGACATACAATAAGCGCCATGCCGAGAGATAACCTTTTTTAATCTCGAAACTCTGAATTCTTTCAAAACTGCCCACGATAAATGATAGCAGAAGCAATAATATTGTTTTATTTTTCGTTTTCAGTACCTTCGCAAATAGTCCGCTCGGTTGGTGATAATCATCAGATTGTATTTCAGGATGAACTTGGGACATTTTAAGTTGACTATGTTAGTTATTAGCTCTAGCCGATTGAGTTTATTGGATTGATAAGAAACTGATCAAGTCAAAAGCTGACACTACTCTGAGTGTGCCTTTGTTATTTGGACTTTATATGAGAGAAGAATCTAGACAGTTTTTTATTAGTCGCATTCAATTAATGAATTAAATTGATCACATTTTTGACAAAACAACCTGATAATAATAGTTTTGTCCCTAAAATTTTATTCTCATCAAGTTTCATGCCGGTTAGTTTGTGCAATAATAAAACATGGACAACCTTTAGAATTTTACATTTTCTTTGAATTTTAAAATGATTTATATCATGTTGCATTTTTAATGATTGATAACTTAATTACTGGGAGATCTATTAAATTGAACTGAAAACATTGGAAATGTAATTTGAAAACAATCCCAGTACGACTCTATGTGAGGAGAAATGACAATCTTTTGTGTCGAAAAACGAGGTAACTCAAATTAGATGATCTTTTATGGTCACTTTTTACTTCTAGTCAAACTTATTGTTCACAATGCCATTTCACCTTGTAAGGAAAGGAAAAGTTTCTTAAATTGATTGATCGAAATGCTAATTTCAAACAATATTTTATTTGTAAAGCGCCATTCAATAATAACAAACATTTATAGTCGCTGAGCCAACCCGGAGCTGATCAATACTAACTCATTTGTCCTCATATTTTTATATGAAATCAGCTTTTATTTTGCTAGTTTATTTCTGAAAGAAAAGTTTACTTAACTAAATTTCAAAGTTAAATTACAAACATGAATATACTTTATAAGATGGAATTAAATCAAACAAATACTGATCTGTTTGCAATATGTAAACCAACTGGAATACTCGCTAAGGGGCTTTATTCTGGACGTGAAGCGATATTTCTGTTTCTTGGGCTCATTCTTTATATCGATGGAGTGCTATTTGCAATGGAACTTTGGAATCCAAAGAATACTGAGGGAGCAGTAAATATTGCAATTTATATGATTACCCAAATGGCCTGTGGAACCTTCATACTCCTTGTCTACTGGAACCGAAACAAATATATTGAATGCTTCAATCACTTCGAAATCAATGCTCAAATCACTAGTTTATGTCCGTCTGCTGCTTGCTATTTGAAGAAAAATCGATTTATCGCCACAACAGTCATTTCGTTGATCTTTGCAACTTATTTTGGTACAACTTGCTTTTATATGCGCCAAATTTTTGGAAATTCACCAGATGTGTATCAGCAAATCTCCATTTTTGGATTTAGAATGATTACTCTTGCATGTTATTTCGCTTGCCTCTGTTTTTTCATTGAAACTTGCCTTTATATTCAAAGCTGTTTCTTGCAAGTTGAGACCCAGATACAGATAATAAGCGACTCAAACAACGCATTAACATTGGACGAGATTCGGCGAGTTCGTCGGTTGTACTGCATTGCTATTGAAAATACAGAAAAGATCAATTCTCTTTCGATGCCTGTCATAGCCTTCTATTTCGTTATCAGTATCGTTGAATCTCATTTCGCTTTCCTTTGCACCATTGCAAACCCAACTGTCTTTTCAATTGCAGTATGTATTGCAGAACTCAGTACCTTTGCTCTGGTCATTTATCACATGATTTACATCAACCATCTTGCAACCAGAATTTATGAACAAGTTTACTCATTTTCATTCAGGACAGACTCAATGATTGTAAGCAAAGAGGTAAATCAGTTTATTTTAAGATCTCCAGGATTCTTGATAAGCTAATGTATTAATAATACAATAATGTGATGCAATTAGCAGAATCCCTATTTCTTACTATTGAAGTCTTTTATGAACCTTATTTTTCTCATTTCTTTTTTTAGATACAAATGTTCCTAACACGAATAGCACTTGCAAATGTTGGCTTGACTTTCTTGGATATATTTGTTATCACACCAAGTTGCGCCACTTCACTGGCCACGATATCATTGACTATTGCTTTAGCAACCCCTACACTGGCCTCTCTGGTCAAATCTTAATGTTTAACTTCAATGTTTCAATCCTTTACCTGTGCAAAAATATTAAGAAAATTTCATCTTTTAATAATCAGAAATCACGACAATTTAACTGCAAGGACATAGGATTTAAAGCACAATCGATAATTCACTTCGACACTTTGATTTGGATTCAAGATTCCTTAAATTAATTTCTCTTTACTCTGTAAATTATGTTGCAATCAAAAATGCTCGAGCAAACTATAAATTGTAACTTTCTCAATTGCTTTATCAATAAATTCAATGAGACCAATTTCAAACTATGACAAACTTTCACTTCTCGAACCATCAGCATGAGATTAACTGGATTATATTCATAAATGATGAATATCAAATGCATCTGAAATGATCCGATGCAAATAAAAAAACCCAGAATAACAATGAGTCGAGTTTTCTCGTCTCACCAATACGTATAATTGGCTGACCTTTGCATTATCAAAGAATGCCTCAATAAATGCATTCAATTAATCAACTATTTTGGAAACAAGTTAATTTTTAGTCGATTTAATAATTTTACCCGAAACTTCATTCTATTTAATTTTCATGCCGGTTAGTTTGTGCGATAATGTAACTTTGATAATCCTTTTAATTTTCTTTTAATTTATATTAAATTTTAACGATTGCTAACTTAATTGCTGAAGAATCATCAAGAATAAAAGGGGGAAACATCGAAGAATTGGTCTTCACCAAGACTTTCTATGAGGAGAAATGACGATCTATAAAGTACGATGTAACGATCAAAATGGATGATCGATTATTTTTATTTTTATATCCAACCAAACTTATTGTTCAGATGTCATTTCATCGTGCAACGAAATAAATGTTTTCTGAATTGATTGATCGGAATACTAGATTCAAACAATATTCTTCTAATGCTTAGTTTATTTCAACCAGATATCATTCAATGAATAACAAAATTTATGATCAATAGGTCAACACAGAGTGAACCAAAACTGAACTAATTTACTAGTATAATCGTTTCTATTCCATAAAATTAGTTCTTACTTTGCGAGTTTACCTCTGAAAGAAAAGTTTAAATCACCAAATTTCAAAGTTGAGTTAAAATATGGATAAAATGGATTCACAGTTTGCAATATGCAAACCAACTGGAATATTTGCTAAAGGACTTTATTCTGGACGTACAGCGATATTTCTTTTTCTTGGACTCCTTCTTTATATCGATGGATTGATTTGGGCGATAGAAATTTGGAATCCAATGAGTACGATGGGAGCAGTAAATACTTTCATTTATATGATCACCCAAATGGCCTGTGGAACCTTCATACTCCTTGTCTACTGGAACCGAAACGAATACATTGAATGCTTCAACTACTTTGAAAGCAATGCGCAAATCCCTAGTTTATGTCCGTCTGTTGCTTGCTATTTGAAAAAACATCGATTCATCATCACGACTGTTATTTCTTTGGTCTTTGCAACTTATTGCGGTACAACTTGCCTTTATATGCATCAAATTTTTGGAAACACATCCGATGTGTATCAGCAAATCTCCATTTCTGGATTCAGAATGATTACTCTTGCATGTTATTTCGCTTATCTCTTTTTTTTCATTGAAACTTGCCTTTATATTCAGAGTTGTTTCTTGCAAGTTGAGACCCAGATACAGAGATTGAGTAACTCAGAAAGCGCATTAACATTGGATGATGTTCGGCGAGTCCGTCGGTTGTACTGCATTGCTATTGAAAACACAGAAAAGATCAATTCTCTATCAATGCCTGTCATAGCCTTCTATTTCGTTATCAGTATCGTTGAATCTCATTTCGCTTTCGTTTACGCAATTGCAAATCCAACTGGTTACACTCTATTATCGTGTGTCGCTGAGCTTTGTTCCTTTTCTCTGACGGTTTATTACATGATTTACACCAATCATCTTGCAACCAGAATTTACGAACAAGTTTACTCATTTTCATTTAGGACAGATTCAATGATTGTAAGCAAAGAGGTAATTTATTTTCAATTTTCTTAAAGACCTACTAACAGAAGCTCAACTGTCTTTTATTAATCTAAATTTTTTCATTTCTTTTTGAAATTAGATACAAATATTTCTAACCCGAATAGCACTTGCAAATGTTGGCTTTACTTTCTTGGACATCTTTGTTATCACACCAACTTGCGCCACTTCACTGGCCACAATTTCATTGACTATTGCTTTAGCAACCCCTACACTGGCCAGTTATGTAAAAGCTTAATGTTTTGTTCTCCAATTGTTCGTAAATTTTGACAAAAATTATTTTATTAATAAACATAATGACCATACGGCTATCACATTTATTCTTAAAAAGTACAAAAGATATTCAACAAAATTAAAAAGATAAAAAACAAGATTAATTGAAACTATTATTTGAATATGTGGTACAAAATTTCAAAAATGTTCCCAACCATTACGCTGTGTTACAGGAAACCCCTTCAGGTATGATTGGCGAGAGAGAAGCCCTTGAGAGCGATCTAATGATCGCAAATTTGCTTTATTTTAATTCGTGCTCCATCAAAAGTTGGTGAAAAGGTAGCTAGTAATTATGCTTATTTTGGTAGCTTACCAAAGAATGGCTATCAACATTAAATTCAAGTCAAGATCAAAGGAATGCTTGTTATATATTACTCGTATAATTTCAGCACAATTATATTTTAATGAAACATTTCATTAAATTTTTTCGGATATGGTTGGTATTGTCATAGCAATGGTAGCAGAGATAAAGTATCAAATGAAATGAAAAAAGCAGGTGTTATGAGAACGATCTTTGAAATGGTTAAACCAACATCGCCCCATCGGATTCGAGTGGAGAATAATCGTATCTAAAGTTAATAGAAACAAAGAAGATGTAATGAAAAGCGTTTTACAAATGTGTTTGCATCTTAACAGACTCTACTTTGTATGAGAGTGAATAAACATAGTTGAAGGCTCCATTTGCAAGTCGGTTTATGTTAGCGATGTGAAAGTTAACAAGAATCAATGTAATTACTTCTCGCATCATCAACATACGATGCATGGGTTTATATTCATATCAAACAATTGGCCAATTGGCAAATCTGTTGCATCTCTTCAAAGTCCAATGGAATCGGACATTGTAAAGATTAATTTGATCTTCTAACCATTTTGAAGCAGACTTGACCATGAAAACAGCTCTAACAAAGACAAAGCTCTGACAGCTTTCTCGAAAGCTTTTAATGTTTCAAAAATCAAACTTTCAGTTTTGCAAGAATTTTTTACTGTCCAAGTTTCATGCTGGTTAGTTTGTGCATTAATGAAACCTAGACAACCCTTTTAATTTTACATTTTCTTTGAATTTTAAAATGATTGATATTCAACATTTACGATGATTGATAACTCAATTTACTAAGAGAATTATCTAGATTTAAATGAAAACATTGGTTTATTTAGCGATTAAGAAAGTATTGTAATATAATTCGAAAACAATCTCAGCGAGATTTTATGTGAGCAGAAATGACAATCTTTTGTACGATGTAACTCAAAATAGATGATCGTAATGTTCATCCATGCCACTATAACTCATTGTTTAGAAAGTCATTTCCAAAGAAATAAATGTTCTATTTAATTTCCTAAACTGATTGATCGGAATTGCAATTTGCAACAATATAGTCTGCTCATTGTTTAATTTCAACCAGATATCTGGTTTGTTAATAGTCATTCAATACATATTATAATCAATACAGACTTATTTGTACTCATTCATTTCTCATAAAACAAATCCTTATTCTGATAGTTTACCTCTAAAAGCAAAGTACAAATTACTAGATTGCAAAGTTGAATCAGAAACATGAATAAAATAGATTTGAATGAAAGAAACACAAATCTGTTTGAAATATGTAAACCAACTGGAATGCTTGCTAAAGGACTTTACTCTGGACGTAAAGCGATATTTCTGTTTCTTTGGCTCATTCTTTATATCGATGGATTGGTTTGGGCGATAGAAATTTGGAATCCAATGAGTAAGATGGGAACAGTAAATATTACAATTTATATGATTATCCAAATGGCCTGTGGAACCTTCATACTCCTTGTCTACTGGAACCGCCACAAATACAACGATTGCTTCAACTACTTCGAAAGTAATGCTCGCATCACTAGTTTATGCCCATCTGTTTCCTGCTATTTGAAGAAACAGCGTTTCATCATCACGACTGTCATTTCATTGATCTATGCAGCTTATTTTGGTTCTGGTTGCGTCTTTATGTTTGAGGTTTTTGGCAATTTATCAGATAATTGTCAGCAAATCCCCGTTCTTGGAATCAGGTTGATTGGTCTCGCAGCTTATTTAGCTTGTCTCTGTTTCTTCATTGAAACTTGCCTTTATATTCAAAGCTGTTTCTTGCAAGTTGAGACCCAGATACAAATATTGAGCGACTCAAACAACGCATTAGGATTGGAAGATGTTCGGCGAGTCCGTCGGTTGTACTGCATTGCTATTGAAAACACGGAAAAATTCAATTCTCTATCGATGCATGTCATAGCCTTCTATTTCGTGCTCAGTCTCGTTGAATCCCATTTCACTTTCGTTTACACAATTGCAAATCCAACTGGTTACTCTTTATTAATGTGTATCGCTGAGCTTTGTTCCTTTTCTCTGGCCATTTATCACATGATCTACATCAATTATCTTGCAACCAGAATTTACGAACAAGTTTATTCTTTTTCATTTAAAACTGATTCACTTGTTGTAAGCAAAGAGGTAATTCAATTTTCAATTTTTTAAAAAGATCTTTCTGATCTAATGCAATTAGCAGAATCTCAATTGTCTTTTATTAACCTAAATTTTTGCATTTCCTTTTGCAATCAGATACAAATGTTTTTAACACGCATATCACTGGCAAATGTTGGCCTAACTTTCTTGGATATATTTGTCATTACACCAACCTGCGCTACTTCACTGACCACGATATCATTGACTTTTGCTTTAGCAACACCAACACTGGCCAAATATATCAAGTCTTAATGTTTAACTTCGATCCAGTCCTATGTTCCAGTCCTTTGTGAAAAAAATATTGCAAAGATCTTATAATGATCAATCACGAAAGTTTAAGGGCGTATGGGTTTTAAACACAAATTAACAATGCACTTTGACACCTTGATTTGGATTCAAGAGCTCTAAAAGATAAGAGTTTTCTTGACAGGTCATATTACATTTCAGTCAAAAATAACCAATTGAGC